CGCAAGGAAGAGCGGCGGCGGGGGGAGGGGCGCAGTGCGCTAGGGGAAGAGACTGTAGTAAGGCACCGACTCGTCAAAGGTGACGTCATGGGAGGACAGAACACGTCGCGAGGTGGGGTGGTAAAACTGCCAACCAGACGCGTCACGGGGGAAGCCAAGGAAGACGCAGGGAACAGGACAGTGGGACAGCTTGTCCGCAGACAAGTCACGGACAAACGCCCGAGATCCCCAGACCCGAAACGCAGACGCATCGCCAACCTTCCCCGTCCACCGCAAGGTGGGGGAGGTGTTTGGCAAGGAGACCCGGGGCTGAAGGTTGAGCTGATGCGCGGCGTACTGAACCGCAAACGACCACAGAAAATGGGGGGCAGCTGCATGCATCATGGACGTACGAGCGACGTCCATGACCGTGCCAATGCAGCGCTCAGCAATCCCATTTTTCTGTGGAGAGGCAGGAAGCGTGAAGGTCTGGCGGATGCCCTGTGCACGACACAAGGCTCCCAGATGGGCAGAGGAAAACTCCTCGCCTCTGTCTGAGTGCAGACGCAGAACAGGAAAGTCCGAGTCGTAACTCTCCCTGAGCTGGAGACGAGCTGCGCGGATCCAGTCGATCAACACCTCAGTGACGTCACCCTTGCTGCGCAAGGGGAAGACTGTGGTGTAACGCGAGTAGTCGTCAACCACGAGCAGGAAGTAACGCTCGTGCCCCTGCCCACGGACTCGAGCGAGGCCCCAGACGTCCATGTGGAGAGTCTGTAGCGGAGCCTCTATCGGAGGAAACTCGGAGGAGTGAGGGGCGGCGCGCTGCCGCCCCTTGACGCAAGGGACGCAGGTAGGGCTAGGCCCCGGAGGTAGGGGAGGGAGAGACTGAGGGAGACCAGAGACAAGGACACGGGAGGCCATGCCTCCGAGACGACGCAGGGAGGGGTGACCAAGGCGGTGGTGCCAAAGGAGAGTCTGGTGGGACAGTAGCCGACAAAAGCAGGGAGCAGACTCAGGACCAGACCTGGACGCTGCAGTAAACACCTGACTCGACGCAGCTACCTAGCCAGACTCAGCAGCAGGAGGCGACTCAGTTGTAAGGGTGTACAGGCTCGACCCTGGCCGACGGGTGAACGTGGCCAAGTGTCGGCCTGTCCGAGCACACGTGCAGTGGGCCACTCGCTGACTCCCAGGAGTGAACTGGTCAACCCGCTTATCCTGTAGGTCTGTCCACTCACCAAGTTCGTAGAGAACGAGGGGAGGTAGAGATCTGACAGGGTTCCAGAAGGGGCTGCCGGGCACGGTAGGACAGTGGAGAAGCTAGCAAGGACAGGACCCCCAGAGGGGTCTGCCAGGGAGACTGCAACCAGCCGACTGAGCGGCGTAAGAGTGGTGCGGTCTCGAAAGAAGGAGCGGGACGCACCCAAGTCAAGGGTGAAGGTTTGAAAGGCCTGAGCCAACGTAGTACTTGAGAGAGCAGACTCACCAGCACCTGGGGCAGCAGACGCACTAGCACCTGGGGCAGCAGACGCACTAGCATCTAGAGCAGCATCCTCACCAACACCTAGAGGAGTGGCCTCAATGCCCGGGTCAGGCGGTACACACAGGTAACAGTCACCCTCAACACTAGTAGTCACAGAATACATGGCAGCAAGGATAGCATCATAGTCAAGATCAAAGATGGCAACCCCCGCCCTAGACATATCTCCCCAGCGAGGGATCTTTGACGCCTCAGGGAACTGGTGACGCCACGCGTCCGTCAGGCGGCCGAAGAAGCACTGGTTGGAGTGGGGGCCCCCGCACTGCTCACAAGCTCGGTCGCCGGTACGGAGGACGTAAGTGCAGGGACCAGTATCCCCACCGCGCTGACGCGCAGCGTACCACTCACGAAGCTGCTGAGGGGACAGGGTCACACCATTGCGCTGCTGCTGGCGCGGACCACCACCTGACCCACTCCTCTGTGCAGAGTCGCGACCCGCTCCACCACCGCCGCAGCCTGCGCCTCCGCCGCCTTCTCCACCTCCGCCTCCTCCGCCACCTCCGCTGCCTTCGCTCCCTGTGCCACCACCGCCGCCTCTTCCGCCTCCACTTCTGCCGCCGCCGCCACCCTCGCCACCACTCCCACCACCACCCCCACCCCCTCCAGTGCCTCCACCACCACCTCCACCACCCCCGCCAGCCCCTCCAGCGCCCTTGCCCCACTTGCCCTTGCCGGTGCGGCGTCTCCTGCCAGGGGCAGACGCAGCGCCAACCGACTTGAAACCAATGAGGTCGGCCGTAGCAGCAGAAGCAATAGAGGGCAAGAGGGAGGTGGGGGAACACCCCTCAAAGACGGGGGTGCGAGGGTCACCACGAGAGGCTCCTACAGCGACTATGCTCTTCTCTGCTGCTAGGAGGCTCTTCTCTGTTACTAGGAGATTCTTCTCGAGGAGGTCAACGGTGAGAGTGGTGGGGCAAACTGAGAGGAAGTGGTCCCTGACTACGCGGAGAGAGTCAGGGAGCCGGGTGACTATTTAGTAGAGGGTGATGTACATGGGGGGGGGGGGGTTCTTGGCGCAGAACTCAACAGGAAGCGCAGCGTGGTAGCGAGTGTCACTAGTGCGGAGGTGGGTAATGAGGTCAGCAACTGTGGGAAAGGCAGCAAGGTCAGGGAAGAGGTACGGTAGCATGAGGCGGCTCAGTGCATCAGTGGCAGGGGAAGAGTAGCGTGCAACTACAGCGTCGTACAAGGTCTGAGCACTCTTGTACTGGCTAAAGTGTGCACGCTCACTGGTCGGTAAGTGGCGACGCACAGCAAGACGGGTAGCAGCTTTGCGTGTCGCCCACTGTGAGCGAACAGTGCTGTCAGCAGTAGCGAGCGGGGCAGGGGAGGCACCAGATGTGAGGTCAAACAGAGAGAGGCCGTCTGCCCTGTCGCACTGGAGAAATAGCTGGAGGTCATCGACCCAGACCTCAAAGTCAACCGCACGGCCCTTAGTGTCTAAGGTAAGAACACTGGGGGTAGCCATGACTGTAGAGGTCTGGCAAGTAGTGGGCTCACCAGTACGAGTAAGTAGGGCTGGGGCGCATCGGTAGGACTGGTAGCGGCTCAGCGGCTCGATTGCTGGGCGGCTCGGCGGTCGGGCGGCTCGGCGACTCCGCTGCTGGGCTGCTTGGCTGTCGGGCGGCTCGGCGGCTAGGCGGCTCGGCTGCTGGGCAGCTCGGCTGTCAGGCGGCTCTGCTATCGGGTAGCTCGGCTGCTGAGCTTTTCGGCGGCTTTGCTGCTGGGCGGCTCGACGGCTCCGCTCCTGGGCGGCTCGGTAGAGGCGGCGTCAAGGCCGCATAGGAGGCGGCGTCGGGGCCGCTTAGGAGCGGTAGCGGGGCCCGGAGGGGCGGCGACGAGGCCGCAAGAGGGCGGCGACGGGGGCCGCTAGAGGGCGGCGACGCGGCCGCGAGAGGGCGGCGACGAGGCCACGAGGGGCGGCTGCAGGGCCGCTATGAGCGGCGACGGGGCCGCGAACGGCGGTGACGGGGCCGCGAGAGGGAGGCGACGGGGCCGCAATAGGGCGGTGACGGGGCCTCGAGAGGGCGGCGACGGGGCTGCAAGAGGGTGGCGACGGGGCCGCGATAGGGCGGCGACGGGGCCGTGGAGGAGGAGCCGCTGAGGGCGGCACGACGGGCCGCTAGGAGAGCGGTGACAGGTTCGCGAGGGGCCGTGAGAGAGGGGGAGGGCCGCTGAGGGCGGCGCGATGGGTCGCGAAGGGGAGGGCGGCACACTGGGCGCGCCTCGGTCAGGAGGGACTCGATCTCAGGGCAGAAAAAAAAAAAGTCGAAGTTCAGTGGTGGGCCCTAGGAAGTTCCCACGAGGGAACCTGCTCTACACCATGTGAGAATTGAGGAATGAAATGAACAAGCACAAAGTTGGGTACAAGTAGGAAACCCTAGGAAATTGTGTCCCATAGTGTCCACCCCACTATAGCCTACACAACATACTCCGAATTGCCAACTTTCACCATGCGTAATCAGTTGGAACATACTCGCCCATTAACATTTATATGGGCCATACTTGTTCGTGGGAGCTCGTGGAAACTTGTGGAGATTCGTGGCCGTGACAGCTCATGAAAACACCTGATAATTCGCGTAGTTACCGACGGAGTTACGAATTTGCCGAATTTCTTCTCGCACAGGTTCGTCTGACTTCGAAATGAAATTTGCACGTCGCATAACTCCCTGGCGAAAATTTCTTCTCGGAAGATGAAGTCAAAGCACTCGAGGGTTCCACAAATTCAATTATGGACCCACGCACATCTGTCTTATCCCACGCGCCACCTCACTGCCACACTTGCGCGTGTGGCAGCAATTGAATTGCGGCCCTCAGGCCGAGCGTGTGCCTCGACTGACACCCTTGGGCCCTTGCTCCCATGATTGCGCAACAAGGCTCAGGCTCATGGCCCCGAGCCTTGACCAGCGCAAGACTGAGTCAAAGGGGCTGGTCAAAATCTCGAGCCCCACACCCAGCATACCAGAAACTCACCATGAACACTCATGAAAGGTACACAGAAACTCATGAAGAAAACACAAACAAGCCTGAACAAACATGAACGAAGCATAAACAGTCATGAACGAACATGATCGTACATGAACGCTCATGAGCGAACACGAACAGAATGCGAAGTCTCATGAGCAGAATGCGAAGGTCCATGAACACTCATGTACCCTCGGAACTTCACATACATTCATGAAACGCCATAAACACACGAAACACACACGAACAATCATGAAAACTCATGAATGCAACCTCACACTCAAGTGCCGATAACTCATGAACCGCTAAGGCGATTCACAAACCGTAAACGCCAAAATGAAAAACACACAAATGCGCATTCCACATGACACAAATTACCTCAAAACAGATGTCTTCAAATTTCACCTTGCTCGACGAATAGGCGACAGGTTGATGTGCAAAATACATTTTGCACCCAACAAATCGTTGTCCTCAATCAAACTGCCCCCACCCCAAACCCCGTCCACAGGGCACGATGCGTCTTGAAAGGGAGCGCTTTAAAGCTCTCTATAACAATGATTTGCACTTTGAGGCACTGGAGGTGTTGAAGGGATTCCTTGCCCCCTTCAACGCCGTCAGCAAGGTGGCGGAGAGGTCGCTCTACCCGACAATCTCCATGGTCATTCCAAGCTACAACGACATGCTTGATGGTTTGGAGGCGAAGCGCCAGGGCCGCCCGTCCATGCTGGTCATGGAGATGACCGTTGCCGCGCTGGGGCACTTCAAGAAATATGTGTATGCCAGCAGTGACGACCTGCTCATCGCCACATTCCTAGATCCAGCGACGAGGGAGGGGTATTTCGCTCTAGGCACGTGGGAGAATCGGCATCCAGAGTTGGTTAGCCAGGGGGGCAGGAGGCGGGCAAGGGGTCCGGTGATGGTGGATGAGATCTTGATCCTGGTGCGCACACGTGTGGAGGCGTACCAGGCGCATGGCGGCGGAGGGGCCGCTCTACCCGACCACCTCCATGGTCATTCCAAGCTACAATGACATACTTGATGGTTTGGAGGCGAAGCGCCAGGGCCGCCCGTCCACGCTGGTCATGGAGATGACCGTTGCCGCGCTGCGACACTTCAAGAAGTAAGTATATGCCAACAGCAACGATCTACTCATCGCCACGTTCCTAGATCCAGCGACGAGGGAGGGGTATTTCGCTCTAGGCACGTGGGAGAATCGGCATCCATAGTTGGTTAACCACGAGGGCGGAAGGCGGGCGAGGGGTCCGGTCATGGTGGATGAGATCTTGATCCTGGTGCGCACACATGTGGAGGCGTACCGGGTGCATGCAGCGGTGACAGCACCACCACCTGCTACAGCAGCGCCTGCACCTGCCACCGGCACTGAGGGGGATGAGCACATAGGCACTAGGGCTGCAAGGGGGGCTAGGCCCTTGGGTGATGAGGTGGACAGATATGTGGCCCATGATGATACAGTAGACGTACCCCCCCTCGACTTCTGACGCACTGTGGAGAACCTTGATACGCTACGAACGATGGCAAAAAATTACTTGGCGATCCCTGGCACCTCGGCAGCGTGCAAGCAAGCATTCTCGTAAAGTAGGAACTTGATCACGTTTTAGCGCACACATCTGAAGTCTTGGTATGACACGCACCCTGGTGCTCGGATCGGCGATGGAACAGATCCTGTCAAACTTATATGCTATAGTCTGTGTAGGCTGTAGTGGGGTAGACTATATGGGGTCCAATATTTCTAGGTTTTCCTACTTGTACCCACCTCTTTCCTAATTCATTCATTCCTCATTCTTCACATGGTACACAACAGGTTCCCTCGTGGGAACGCTTCTCAGGGCCCACCACTGAACTCGATTTTTCCTACCCGAGGCACGCCCCGTAGGCCGCCCCTACGTCGCGCTCCCTTAGTGGCCCCTCTCACGGCTCCTCGCGCCACCCTTAGCGGCCCCGTCGCCGTCCTTTGCGGCCCCGTCGCCGCCCCTCTAGGCCCCTCACGGCCCCTTCGCGGCCCCGTCACCGCCTCTCTAGGCCCCGTCGCCGCCCCTCTAGGCCCCTCACGACCCCTTCACGGCCCCGTCGCCGCCACTTTAGGCCCCGTCGCCGCCCCTCTAGGCCCCTCGCGGCCCCTTCGCGGCCCCGTCGCCGCCCCTAGCGGCCCCGTCGCCGCCCCTCTAGGCCCCTTACGGCCCCTTCGCGGCCTCGTCGCCGCCCCTCTAGGCCCCGTCGCCACCCCTCTAGGCCCCTTGCGGCCCCTCTACGGCCCCGTCGCCGCCCCTAGCGGCCCCGTTGCTACCCCTGGAGGCCCCGTCGTCGCCCTTCGCGGCCACCTCGCCGCTCTTCGCGGCCCCGTCGCCACCCCATAGCGGCCCCGTCACCGCTCTTCGCGGCCCCGTCACCGCCCCTTCGCGGCCCCGTCGCCGCCCTTGACGGCCCCTTCACCGCCGAGCCGCCCAGCAGCCGAGCCGCCCAGCACCCAAGCCGCTGAGCCGCCGAGGAGCCGAGCCGCCGAGCCGCCCAACAGCCAAGCCGCCGAGCCGCCCTGCAGCCGAGCCGCCGAGCAGCTGCCGTCGAGCCGCCAGTGCCACTGCCGAGCCGCTGCTACTGCCGTTGCAGCCCTGCTCCTCCCGGCGCGCCCCAGCCCTACCCACCCGGACTTGTGAGAGCCCTCCCTGCTAGACCACTACTATCATGGCTACCCCCAGTGTCCTTACCTTTGATGCTGAGGGTCGTGCTGTTGACTTCGAGGTCTGGGTCGATGACCTGTAGCCTTTCCTACAGTGCGATAAGGCAGACGCACTCTCCCAGTCCTTACCTCTAATGCCTCTCCTGCCCCGCCTACTGATGCTGACATCACTGTTCGCTCACAGTGGGCCACACGCGATGCTGCAGAGAAGAGCATAGTCGGTGTAGGAGCCTCTCGTGGTGACCCTCGCACCCCCATCTTTGACGGGTGTTCCCCCTCCCCCCTCTTGCCCTCTGTTGCTTCTGCTGCTGCGGCCAACCTTGTTGGCTTCGAGTCGGTCACCGCTGCGTCTGCCCCTAGCGGGAGACGCCGCACCGGCAAGGGCAAGGGGGCCAAGGGCGCTGGAGGGGCTGGCGGGGGCGGTGGAGGTGGTGGTGGAGGAAGTGGAGGGGGTGGGGGTGGTGGTGGGAGTGGTGGCGGGGGTGGAGGTGTCGGTGGAAACAAAGGAGGCAAAGGAGGCGGCAGCGGTGGCGGAGGGAGCGGAGGCGGCGGAGGTGGCGGAGGCTGCGGAGGTGGCGGAGGCGGCGGCGGCAGCGGTGGAGCTGGTCGCGGCTCTGCGCAGAGGAGTGGGTCTGGTGGTGGTCCACGCCAGCAGCAGCAGCGCATTCGTGAGACCCTGTCCCCCCAGCAGCTTCATGAGTGGTACGCTAGGTGTCAGCGAGGTCGGGGTACTGGTCCTTGCACTTACGTCCTTCGTACCGGCGACCGCGCTGGTGAGCAGTGCGGGGGGCCGTACTCCAACCTGCGCTGCTTCGGCCGCCTGTCCGACACGTGGCGTCACCAGTTCCCTGACGCCACTGAGATCCCTCACTGGGGAGAGCTGTACAGGGCGGGGGTTGCTATCTTTGATCTTGATTATGATGCTATTCTTGCTGCCATGTATGCTGTGTCTGATAGTGATGAGGGTGACTCTTACCTGTGTGTTCCGCGTGACCCGGGCATTGAGGCTGCTGCCCCAGGTGCTGGTGAGTCTGCCCTCTCAGGTACCACGTCGGCTCAGGCCTTACACGCCTTCACCCTTGACTCGGGTGCTTCCCGCTCCTTCTTTCAAGACCGCACCACGCTTACGCCGCTTAGTCAGCCGGTTGCAGTCTCCCCGGCGGACCCATCTGGGGGTCTTGTCCTTCCTAGCTTCTCCACTATCTTACCGTGTCCGGCAGCCCCCTCTGGCACCCTAACTGGTTTCTACCTCCCCTCGTTCTCTACAATCTTGGTGAGTGGAGCGGACCTACAGGATAGGGGGGTTGACCAGTTCACTCCTGCGAGTCAGCGGGTGACCCACTGCACGTGTGCTCGGACGGGCCGACACTGGGCCACGTTTACCCGTCGGCCGGGGTTGAGCCTGTACACACTGAATACTGAGTCTCCTACGGTTGCTGAGTCTGGTCAGGTAGCTGCGTCGAGTCAGGTGTTTGCTGCAGCGTCGAGGTCTGGTCCTGAGTCTGCTCCCTGCTCGTGTCGTCTCCTGTCCCACCAGACTCTCCTTTGGCACCACCGCCTTGGTGACCCCTCCCTGCCTCGTCTCCGAGGCATGGCCTCCCGTGTCCTTGTCTCTAGTCTTTCCCGGTCCCTCCCTCCCCTACCTCCAGGGCCTGCCCCTATGTGTGTTCCCTGCGTCGAGGGACGGCACCGCGCCGACCCTCACTACTCCGAGTTTCCTCCGACAGAGGCTCCGCTGCAAACTCTTCACATGGACGCGTAGGGCCCCGCCTGCGTCCGTGGCCAGGGTCACGAGCGTTACTTCCTGTTGGTGGATGACGACTACTTACGTCACACCACGGTCTTCCCCTTGCGCAGCAAGGGTGACGTCACTCAGGTGTTGATCGACTGGATCTGCGCGGCTCGTCTCCAGCTCAGAGAGAGTTCCGGCTCGGACTTTCTTGTTCTGCGTCTGCACTCTGACAGAGGCGAGAAGTTTTCCTTTGCCCGTCTGGGAGCCTTCTGTTGTGCACAGGGCATTTGCCAGACCTTCACACTTCCGGCCTCTCCACAGCAAAATGGGATTGCTGAGCGCCGCATTGGCATGGTCATGGACGTCGCTCGTACGTCCATGATCCATGCAGCTGCCCCCCATTTTCTGTGGCCGTTTGCGGTTCAGTACGCAGCGCATCATCTCAACCTTCAGCCCCGGGTCTCCTTGCCTGATACCTCCCCCACCTTGCGGTGGACGGGGAAGGTTGGCGATGCGTCTGCGTTTTGTGTCAGGGGATCTCGAGCGTTTGTCCGCGACTTGTCTGCGGACAAGCTGTCCCCCCGTGCTATTCCCTGCGTCTTCCTTGACTTCCCCCCTGACGCGTCTGGTTGGCAGTTTTACCACCCCACCTCGCGCCGTGTTCTGTCCTCCCAGGACGTCACCTTTGACGAGTCGGTGCCTTACTACCGTCTCTTCCCTTACCACACTGCGCCCCTCCCCCCGCTGCCGCTCTTCCTTGCACCAGGTCCTTCCCTGGTAGACCCCCTTCCCCCTCAGGGTCCTGCACCGTCAGATGTGTCCCAGGTAGACGCAGTCGAGCTTGTCGAGGTAGCTGTTGACTCTAGTGGTTCTGAGCCTGCGGGTGCCGGGTCTAGAGGTGCTTAGCCTGGGGGTGCGGAGCCTGGAGGTGCTGGGTCTAGGGGTGCTGAGCTTGGGGGTGCTGAGTCTGGGGGTGCTGAGCCTGGGGGTGCTGATTCTGGGGGTACTCAGCCTGGGGGTGCTGAGCCTGGGGGTGCGGAGCCTGGGGGTGCTGGGTCTGCTCGTGTAGCCTCTCGCGGTGCTTCGTCGAGAAGGGAGCTACTCTCTCCGCAGGAGCTGCGCGAGTGGTTTGCCCGACACTCGATCCGCTCTGCTGGAGCTGGAGGTACTAATGTTGCTTCTGGTCCTGGAGGTGCTCATACTGGCGGTACTGGAGCTGGTGGGACTGAGGGTGCTGCTGGGGCTGCTGGAGTTAGTCCTGCTAGAGGTACTCGTGGATTTGCTTCCGGTACTGGAGCTGATGGTCCTGTTGGAGTTAGCGCTGTTGGAGCTCCTAAAGCTGGAGCTGCAGGGGGAGTTGGTGCTGGTGGTTCTGCTGGCGTTGGTGCTTCTGAGGGTGCTGGAGTTGGCGCTGCTGGAGCTGGACATGCTGCTGGCGCTGGTGCTGCCGCTGGGGGTACTGGTGCTGTCCCTGCTGGTTCTGGAGGCGCTACGCGGCCGCGGCTGTACTTCGTTCTGCTCCTTGAGCAGTTTCTTGGTCTCCCGCCCTCTACTGGTCCTACTCCTCCCTTAGAGAGTCCATAGCCTGTCCAGTCGCGATCACGGTTAGAGCCCGCCTCCCCCCTGCCTGCTCCTTCTCCCTACACTGGTCCTACTGGAGGTCTTGCTAAGCATTGTGAGCCTGCGTCTCGTCCTGCGTCGCCTGTTCATGCTGCTCTCACTAGTTGTTGTGCTCCGCGTCCGCGTCCTCCTGCGGTCCCAGGCACACACCAAGTGGCAGTGCCTCCATCTAGTGCTCCCCTGCGTGTCCCGTTGCCGTCTCCTCCAGACTCCTCTCTTCATGTTCTTGCTGACCCGGAGTCTGACTCTCTTCGTGCTGCCAGTCCTACTGTCACGGGTCTCCTAGCTACAATTGTCACTTACCCTTCCTTTGAGTCCACTGCTGCGTCTGCCTTAGTTGCTGAGCTTGTCGACTTTGCTGCTCACTGTCATCTAGACTACGCTGCTAGTCTTGTTGCTGAGTCCAAGTCTGTTTGTCCTCCGTCCGTCAGGGGTGAGTGTGCTCTTAGCACGGACGTCCTTGAGGACAGGCAGGAGGAGTTCCGGTGTTTTGATGCTGCTTTGTCTCATCTCGTGTCCACTCTGATTGCCCCTGAGGGAGACCCGTATGCACGAGACATCTCGACTCCTCGATCGTACGCTGACGCGATCGAGGGTCCCTACTCCTCACAGTGGCAGTCACCCATGGACGCAGAGATGGCTTCCTGGAAGTCCTCAGACACCTACGTTGATGAGGTTCCCCCACCTAGGGCGAACATCGTCAGTGGCATGTGGATTTTCAGGGTGAAGTGGCCGCCGGGTTCTCCGTCTGTCTTCAAGGCTCGTTACGTGGCTCGAGGCTTCAGTCAGCGGCAGGGAGTTGACTACTTTCAGACCTTCTCTCCCACCCCGCACATGACCTCTCTTCGGGTGCTGCTACACATAGCCGCTCAGCGCGACTACGATCTTCACTCTCTTGACTTCAGCAGAGCTTTCCTGCAGGGCAGCCTGCACAAGGAGATATGGCTGCGCCGCCCACCACGCTTCACTGGGTCGTTTCCTCCTGGTACCAAGTGGAGCCTCCGGCGGCCAGTCTACGGTCTCCGCTAGGCACCTCGTGAGTGGCACGACACAGTGAGAACTACAGTTGTGGCTCCTGGGTTTGCTCCTTCTACAGCCGACCCGTCGCTGTTTCTGCGCACCGACACCTCTTTGCCGCCGTTCTAGATCCTCGTGTACGTCGACGACTTGGTCTTTGCCATTGCTGACACTGCTGGACTCGCCTACGTGAAGTCCGAGCTGCAGAAGAGACACAAGTGCACAGACCTGGGTGAACTGCGCAACTACCTTGGCTTGCAGATCACCCGGGACAGAGCACAGCGCACCATTACCCTGACTTAGTCACATGG